TTGCAGATACCAAAATAGTGTAATGTTTGCATACAACTTAGGCACATTTTCCAGCGTACTTGAATTTATCTCTAGATTACTTATAACATCTAATACAATATAAATAATCTATAAATGTTACACTGTGTTGTTTTGGAAAGAACAAGAGAAAAGTTCTTTGCATGTTCAGATGCATTTCTCCCCCAGTCTATAGTCAATTAAATCCACTGAAGCAGAAACTGCGGATAGAAGACCAAATGCATATATTGTTTTAAAATTTGTGTGATTGTTTTAAAGTATTTTAATTATGTGAATATATATTAATATGTGGTAGTAATATGATGGTTTTATATTGTGACAGTCATATACTTAAGTAAAATTATGGGCTCTAGAACCTTGCTATAAATCAGACTTTGACATAAGTGGATCCACTTGTTTACTTGTGAATAGGACAGAGTACTTATTATGAGACAGATTTACTCTAGAATATTCTGTTGAAGCAGAACCAAAAGAACACTTTATAAGGAACCTATAGACCAGGTATTGCTTAGAAACTATTTCAGCTTAAACTGACAAGATGTAATTCTGGATGTGTTAGTACAATAAATGTATAGTTTGCTCCAGTGAGATAACAAAATACCATACCAGCCTCCTTACTTGGGAAAAATGGTAAGTATGTTAGAGATGGTTGATTTATTTTTGTTCTTGTGTGTCTTGAGAAATGAGATTTTGGAAGCAGATAAAAATTTCTTATTGACCAGGTAACTTTTGTTATTTGAATACTGTGTGTTCAACAGGTGTTTGTTTTATCAAGTGATGTGAGCTTTAAAAATAAGCTGATGTTTTGTTGTTTTATGAGTAAATTATGTGGGGGTTAATATGTACAAAGTAGTAGTTGGATGAAAGATCACACTCCTCAGGTGACTTTGTTAAACCTAAGGATTTTCCAAGGAATAGCCTGTGATATCTCCATGCTGCAACATTTGGAAGCATAAATCCTTGATGGTTTTCCTGAGATAATGAAAACCTGCATATTGTATGGAAATAGAACTAGTACATCAGTTTCTTGATTTCATCAGTACTTCTAAAATTTATTCCCTTTCTTTATGAGGGTAGAGTTTAGCTTTGATTTCCTTAGGTTAATGAATTCATCCATGTATATAAATATTGGCTCATAAATTAATGTCCTCGTGTCTAAGTGTAAGTTGGAGTTTACTCTTAACTTTTGTGGCCACCACCAGTACCAAATGCTGTTCCTATCACTGCTGACTCTGCCTGGCATGGGTTTAAGTGCTCTTTCTGTGTGATCTCTTTTAACCCTCTCAGTAACAAGTGAGAGGTAGGTACCATTATTAGCACCATTTTACCCATGCAGAAATGCAGGTAGAGAGAGGTTTATGAGTATATTGCCCAAGGCCCTGTAGTTAGTTGTGAGCAAACTAAGCCTTCCCACCAGTTTTGTTTCCATAGCAACAGTTCACCAAGTCTGTTAATAATCAGGATACTGATGCAACAGAATATGCAACAGAATAACCAATATGTTAACTGGGAAAATGAACTCCAGTTGTTGAGCCTTCTTCCTGTGCTTTCATTCAGTTTCTGTTGAGATAACATTACGAACCTCTCTGCTTTTGTTTTTGGTGCATGGTGACATATGCATCACATACTGGTGACACATCTTGTGAGCTGAATGAATAATCCATCTTCCTGCTGACTCCTCTGGGGTTTAGACGGTGCTCTGACTCCTGATGTTCTTCATGTGGCATATTTCCATAATGGCTGATAGAGGCTTCATGGTGTGAATCTAAACTTGGAGTCTGAGTGGATCAATGCATCCTTAGTATGAAGCACCACAGAGTGCCTCTGTTGTGCCTGTGTGTCTAAGAGCTGTGTGAGGCCAGAGGCTCCTGTTGAACGTGGGGGTCGGCACTGCTGTCCATTCATATCCAGCACCATTTCTGCCATGAGAAGCACCGCCTTCCTTGTTGGTAGCAACCCTGCATTTCGTTTGGTACTTGTGTGTTAATCCTGTGGGTGTTGCCGTTCCTTTTACCTGCAGCCTCTCGACGTCATTCCAGGTCCACTAGTGCTCTCTCCACTGCTGAATCTGTTGGGCAGTCAGGTGAACAAGTGCTAACTGCATGATTCACTTCTTCATCCATTCTCCTCCACCCATGTCAGCATTTATTTCCATTTGTGTCGGCTAGCGCTTGGCATGTGTACACTTCATGTTTGTTCTCCCCAGTGTGCTTTTGTTGTTTTTTTTTTTTCTTTAAGTTGTTGAATGTTTATAGTTCTGTTAATAGGCATAGATGCTTTATCACATGTTTGACAACATCATTTCTCCAGTGCTTGTATGTCCGTCAAAATGAAAACCAGGGAAAATATTTCTTCCCCTCTTTCCACTGTCCCCCGGGAGCAGCCACCAAAATAAGTGTCACACAACCTCCTGATGGGAAAATGGGGGTATGGATAACATCCCCCAGAGTCAGTCGTCTCTGAAATCTTCACTCCCGTCATGCTTTGAAATGTTAGTTATTAGTGTCAGGTATTTTTAGGTACAGTTAGTTACTTACGTTTCAGATTATAGTATGTGTAATTTCCTATGTCTGAAAATAAATGTATCATCCTAAAAGTTTTATGGAAAACAAGATCAAGATTCAGATAATCAAGTCAGGTCAAAAGGTTAAGACCCCAAACCTTCTGAGTCAGCCACAAAAGTCCACTGACTAGCCACAGAGGCAAAAACATTTATTGGCATATTTAAATGCTACATGTAATGCCATCATTTCTGTGTGCTATTATTCCTGAGGACTAGTTTTCTCAATCAAGTGAGGCATGCTTTTTTAATTCACAGACTTGATGGTGACATGCAGTCAGTTATTATTTTTTGTTTTTTTTAAATGAAGCCAATTATTACTGTATGTGCTCTCATTAAATGCATTGCCCTGAAGATCAGTGGCTAGAACGAGGCACATCTTTCTGTATATATCTCTTAGAAACCTGAGATTCACAATAGTAACAGAACAATGAGAATGTAGAGTAGATTTTGGTTAGGTGAAAACCAAAAGTTTATTATTTTGCTTAGATCCAGACAAATGATCTCTCTTTAAGATTGTCTGTGTTATACATTAGCTGATTATGGTGTATTGCAAAGTGGTATATATCTAGAAGGCACAAAACAATTTGCATTGTTCTTAAAAGTTTTAATTGGTATCTGGAAAAAACAGTTTTATCCCTGGAACAAGAATTGCTGGCATGAGATCTACTTTTCTTTTCTTTTTTCTTTTTAGACTTTTATTTACATTTATGCTGGATACCTTATAAATGGCTTATAACTGAATTATTTTCATTCTGTTATTCATGAATCCCCTGCTATCTACCCTTTTTTAATGGAAAAAAAGATGAACAAGATAATCTATAAAACTGTGTAATAAATCTCAAATTTATATTTGCTTCATATTTTAACTAATAAAGCATTTGTAGATAAATACATAAGTATAATTGTTTTGTGGTCCTGTTTAATTTATAAAGCACATTAAATCACCTTTGTAATGTGATGTATCAAGATGACATTTAGACTGAGCAGAAATGCATTAAAAAAGGGGATAGTCTAACATATAGTTCTTGTTTCTGTATAAAAACTTGTGACCCTTGAACTATTGATTAGCAATGTTTAAATTATTTCTCCTTTGTTTGATGGTGGAAAAATATGATGCTTTGGAATTGATATTTTTAAAAAGCTAAGTAAGGGGTTGGAAGCATGCTTGGCTCAGTTGGTAGAGTACTACTAGCCAATGAACAAAAGCATTCAAGTCCCAGCCTCGACCCTTAAAAAAATGTAATACTTCACTTTTAAAGTTTACTGATTTTCTAAGTGATATCTTATTACCTATCCAAAGTTTAAATAGACCATTTTATAGGACAATTTCAATAAAATGGATACTAGCTTCCCTCTTATTCTAAATGCTTCATTAATAGAATGTGGCCAATACAGGTTTTCCTTGTGTAAATAGTATCTTATTTGTTAACACCAGGAAAACATTTTTATGTTAAAACTTTCCTTCCAAAGGTTATTACACATTCAAACATTGATTAACCAACTTTTTCTCTATCGATCGTAAATACTCCGGTGAACTCTTACTTGTGCTAACTTCCTACCTCTAGAATTTTAATCTCTAGCACTTCTTAAGGAAGGCTAGTCAGCTGTCTTAAAATGATACTTTCAAAAGGGAGTTTTCATTTACCATGTTCACTAACAACCTTAAGTCATTGTTAGAACTGCTAAAATTTGGCCTAAATCCTTTAGATTCTTTTTATTCTGTCCATCTGTATAAAGACAAAGGTCCTCCAAGGGACTCAGGTAAAATTTATACTGATAATCTCTGGATGATTAACTTTCTGCAGAACAAGTACTAAATTTTTTGTGGTGATTTTTAAAGAATTTTAGTACACTGATTTTTCAATTTATCTCCAGTGACATAGGCATCGGGATGAACAAGTACCCCCAAGTAACTGAGGTTAACCAAAAAACTGTTAAAACAATTGTATTAGTAAAATAGCATCAGAGATCAACTTAACATTATTTGTTTCTAATTTTTTTTGTTTCACATTGCATTAGAACTCATTTATGAAACCATGAAACTAGTTTATTATTGAAAAAACATCAAGGCCACCTCCCTGCCTGTAGAGGGAAAACAAATAGATTAAAAGATTCAACTCAAAGCTCATCTCTCATCTCTATTTTATAATAAATTCCCCTCTCTTGTGTCCCAAAATTTTTCAATAGTAGTATGTTATAGGACAGGTTCCCACTAAAAGAATGCTTTGTGACTCCATAGAATTAAATGTGAGCACCTTAACTTCTACAATGGGCAAGCAAGTGCAGTACAGTTAAAAATGACTAGAGATCTTTCCGTGCCTCTCTCTACTTTGGTGGGAAGAGGCAGGAGCCCTTGCAAAGAATTGAGGGGAAAAATATAAATCAAAGTGACACTTGCTTTTCTTTTCTTTTCCAATAGACCGGTTTGGGCTGGGTCAGCCAGGAAGAATACCTGGGTCTGTGAATGCCATGCGGGTTTTGAGCACAAGTACAGATCTGGAAGCTGCTGTTGCTGATGCTTTGGTAAGAGTCACCGTTTGTGCCGAATCTCTTTGAATGATTCATCCATGTTTTTCTCTGTCTTAGCAGGACTTTGCTCCCAAGTCAGTTGGCTAGATCATCTTTGACACTCCATGAAATGGTGTAAATATTGAACAAGTTTGTTTTACTGTTGTGTTCTCAGCGTTTGACCTGTGCACACACACAAGGAAAATTGGCCTTCTAGAAAATATTAGTGTCAAGTATTCTGATCTATGCTCTTCAGTATCCAGATGTCATTGGACTTCTTAGATGTCATTGGCTTTTTCTTCTTTTTCTTTTTCACAATGGTTCCCTGCCCCTCCTCGGCCCCTGCATTTCCTGTTTTCCATCCTGTTGCTCCTCTTGCTGTACAGACTTTGATGGCATAGCTTAAACACATGACTATAAAAGTAGGTTATAGAGCTTGAGGTTTGAAAATCTTCCATCTGTCTCATTATCTCACTTGTGGGTGGGTCCATATTATTCGATTATTTTTCATGTTTTTATTTACTTATTTGTTTTTAAAATTGAAATCAATCGATATTTAAAATATTTCCTAAATTTTAACCTTTATTCATCTGAGGATGGTGAAGCATTGGTAGAATGTGGTTTTGTATCATAATGTAATAGCTAATGGCTAAAGGGATCGGAGCACCTTTAAATGGTAGCTCTAGCAAAACTTCCTTGGTAGGACTAAATTGCAGTCAAATTGCTCTGTAAAGGCTCCTCAGCTGGTGATAATAGCATCTTGCCTATTCACATGCTCAGCATTTGAAATAGATGTTCTTCAGAAATGTTTCAGCTTTACCTTTATTTTTTTAAGATTTATTCTTATGTGAGGAAAAAAACACACAATGCCTGCTTTTAAGCCCTGAAAATTTAAGTCCAGCCATGTTCCATCAAGACTTTACAGTCTATAGCCACAGTGATCCCAGCTCTCATCTCTTCCTGTCTTTTCTCCTCATTTGTTTTTGCTCAGTCAGATTTCTTTGACAAGTGTCTGCTGCTCTCAGAATGCTATCCCAGTAGGCAAACTGCCTGGACAGCTCTATTCATCAGCCTTAGATGTAGGAGGACTGTTTTTTGGCAGGTACTAGAGTGCAGAGCAATTACTTAACCATGGCTTTAACTTCAGAGTCAAGAGCTGGAACTGAATTCTGTGACACCCTTCTCCTTCCCAATGCAGCACTCTGAATCTATCTTTGATTTATTCAGAGATTCTAGGAAGGAGGTCAGCGGGTCTAGAAACAATGGAATTTGGAAGCGTCAGCTAAATAGAATCTCCAATTAAGGCAGATAACTTTGTTAGCTTTTTAAAACCTTGTATAAGGGACTGTTTACAAAGTTCTAGGAGGCAGGATAGAGCTGGAGAGTTTGAGCTTTGTCTTACTTGACTGGAGCTTTTCTCTGAATCCCCAGCTCCCTTTATGTTAGTGCTGCCTTGTTACTTTTTTATCTACCCTGTTTGGTCTCTGCAAGTGACCTACCTCTGAAGAGGAAAATGCAGGAATGGTACAGAATTCTTTCCTACAGGAGGGAAGCTCAGGGCAGAGAGACATTTCATAGGGATAGGTATATTAACAGCAACTTAGCAATGGTCCTCCTGGGTATGGGAAGAGTTCCAGCAAGAATTATAGCAAATGTCAAAGGGTTTGGGAAGTTGCATAGGAGGACTATAAGAAATGCCATTTTGAAAGCAGTCTGTATTATTATCTGCTCAATATTAAACGCTTGCTGACCTGTGTTTTTGGTTTGCTAAGAGATGTTTTGCTGTACACTTTTGTTGCCAGAACAATCCCCACATATGCTTCTGACATAATTCTCTATGCTTTTTCCCCATCCTTCAATATTTTCCTGCCTACAGCTGTTAGGAGACACCAGGAGCAAGGTACCAGTGCTTTAACTTTTGTTTTCAACTTTATTTTTTTCTGTTGAGAGTATTATTTCTTTTAGAAGTTAGTGAAATCAGTACAAAATATAGTAGAATTTAGAAATTCTGGTCTGAATTATGATATTGTTGAACCTGTGATGTCTTTCCTAGTGATGGAATCTGTCACCGTTCACATATGTTTGTTGGTAGTATTCACTGGAATGTCAAACTTTACTCTTCTCCCATTAGTGTCTCATTTTTTTAAAATTCAGTTCTGTGGCTATTATTATGTTGTCATTACTTCATAAATGGATTTGCCTACTTTACATATGAATGGGATAGTCATATAATTTGTCATCCAAACAAAAATAGAGAGTAAAAGAGGGTGCTATAAATTATACTGGGACAGTAGGCAGAACAATCCTGAGCAAGTTGGCATTCTTAGTAACTACCTTTACTAGACAATTGCATTTGTGTGGTTTGAACCATCTAGTTTTGCTTGTAGGAAAATCTGTGTATTACTGATTTCACAAAGCTGTTACTATGTCATTTAGTTTTGTATTCAGGGTAAGAGATGAATAATCAGGGGTGAGGATTATACAGTCTACTTTAAAAGATGCCTATTGTGTATAAAAGTAAATAAAGTCCTTAATGAAAGTAACTCATACTATTTAAGAATTCTTGAGAGTCAGGCATGCTGGTATGTGCCTATAATCCCAGCATTCAGGAGACTAAGGCAGGAAGATTGTGAATTTGAGATCAGTCTGGATTACATAGTAAGAACTTTGTCTCAAAAAACAAAGCAAAAAGAAACCTTTTAACATAGGGTTATTTCTGCCAGTGACATTTCAATTTCAGAATTGCTTGAAAAAATAATACTCACCCATAGATTCAAGGTAGACTCGGCTGGACTGCAATGGGGCTTGGAGTACATATACCCTGCAGTGTGTCAGCAGTTGAATTCTTCTACATTGAATCACCCTTAACCCTAAAACAGGCTGTAGGCTAGTGTTCTCTTTCTTCAGAAGGAAGAAACTGAGTTAGAAAGGTTTGAAAGCTTTTGTGAATTCACATAGCAAGTCAGCAGTGACAGCAGAATTAGAAATCAAATCCATGTTACTGAAAAGCCCCTGCACACTGGATTCCCTGTGAGAGGTCACACTTCCCTCTGCCAAGGAATGCCATCCTTGGCACTTGTCTTGTCCACTAGAAAAGTTTTCTGTTTTTATTTCCCCAACCAGTAAGCACAAATATGTGTTTTGTATCTCTTTTTACACTTAATTCTTCATTGTTTCTGTTTGATATGACTCATGACCATTTTACCTTTCCATTTCCTCTTCATTCTCCTCCATTCCTCCTTGGATCTCTCAGAAGAAGCCTGTGAGGAGGAGATATGAGCCATATGGAATGTATTCTGATGACGACGCCAATAGCGACGCCTCAAGTGTTTGCTCTGAGCGTTCATACGGCTCAAGGAATGGTGGCATTCCCCATTATCTGCGACAGACTGAAGATGTAGCAGAAGTTCTCAACCACTGTGCTAGTTCAAACTGGTCAGAAAGGAAAGAAGGGCTTCTTGGCCTGCAGAACTTACTCAAGAGCCAAAGAACACTGAGGTAAGGATAAAAGGTCAAGGTTGAGAGCCACTTTTCAGTGTCCTAATTTACTTGTCAAGGCTTTAAAGAGATTCACAGTCATTTTATGGAGTCCTTGCCAGCATCAAAGGTGCTAATGACTTAAGAAACAGACAGTCTTTTCTTTTCAGACACTTCTGAATATCTGGCAGATCTTATAGGATTTGTTAGGTGCATAGAACATTTGGTTCAATTACAGTGTCCATTTGTCCATTAGATGCTATTTGAGGAGTCTTGTTACCATTTGCAATTCAAGTAAAGAATAAAACAATGCTTCAAGTTAATATGGTGATTCTTCTTCAAGGTTTGGGATAAAATGGTACAAGTTTTACCTGGTACCAGTGGGCACATGCCTGTAATCCTAGTTACTCAGGAAGCTGAGATCTGAGGATCACAGTTTGAAGACTGCAGGGGCAGGAAAGTCTATGGGACACGTATCTCCAATTAATGACCAAAAACAACAAACAAACAAAAAGCCACAAGTGGCTGTATGTAGCCTTGAGCAGAAAAGCTCAGAGACAGTGCCCACACCCTGAGTTCAAACCCTAGGACCGGCACAAAAAAAAAAAGAAAAAGTCTTAATCTAAAAACTTTCAGTGCACATAAAGGATGTATGCCACTTATAAATTACAGAGTAAACAAATATTTTTTAAATATTTTTTAAATATTTTTAAATAGTAACAGCATCTTTAGAATTCGCCTTTCTTTTTTCTTTGTTTCTGTTTTTCATATATTTTCTAAAATAAGCACATATTACATGTATCAAAAATGTACTGTGTTTATGCCAAATCTCATCAGATCTAAGCCAATAACTATTACTTTATATCTCTCTGGAGAAAGAAGAAACTCTGTTTATTTAAACATGACCATGAATATATCTTTGGTTATAAGAGGAATCTCAATTACAGTGATGTTAAAACATAAATAAAGTTGTGTGGGGGAATTGAGAAGTGTCTATGAGTCTGTCTACAGAGTCTATGAATATACTGTATCATGTCCTTTAGACATCATTTTACAGATCAGTTAGGAGTTAAGGCTGTGGGTGCAAGTCCCTCTTCTGTGTGACTAGGTGAGCACTGGCAAATAAATTGGCTGTGTTCCAAGTGTGGCTCTTCAGTTCTACTCTACCCCATTTCCCTATATTATTTCACTCCTGCCATGAAGGTGGTATCAGAGGATCTGCCATACACCTTCTGATATATAAGCATCATATGACACTCTAGTGACTTTTTAGTGACCTCTCAGAAACAAAACAAGGATAATTTGTTAACGATTGTTTTACAAGAATCTGTTTCAGTGCTGCTGGTCCCAACTTTGAGTACCCATTGGTTGGGCCCTAGAAATGTACGGGTCTCCTCATTGGTCTCATCTAAACCGCAGTTAGCATTACTGGAGGCTCATTGAACCAACTGTCTTTATCTACAAGGAATCTTAAAGATGGCACTGTATGTTTCTTCAGGATGAAGAGTCCTGGTCTTCTGACCTGAAACACATATGTCTTCTGGTTTATCCATTGCCTTTCATTGCTATAGATAGAGAACAGACCTGGAGTAAAAAGGTTTTGGCTAATGCCTTGTCAATTGTAGCTGAGCAAGTTGTTGTCTGAAGCTCAGTGTCCTCATAAGATGAGAGCAAATCTATGATTTCATATTCTTTACAGTGAATCAAATATGATGATTAGTTTTTACATAAATACAAACTTGGAAAAAAATAAATAAACTTGGTAAAGTTTATGTAGTTGACTGAAATGAAAGGATTATTAGAAAGCAAAGCTGTAACTAGTTGCAGTGGTGACTTACTAAATTTTAAATTTATTAATTTCCATATATTGCCTCTAGTCGAGTAGAGTTGAAGAGATTATGTGAGATTTTCACCCGAATGTTTGCTGACCCCCATAGCAAGGTAAGTCTGTAATCATGCCTTACTCATATTCTCTTCTGCATGCCTGTGTGACATGTGTGATATACTGCCCAAGAATGAGAACAAATTCCCACAATGCACTAGTGTGTTTAACATCTTTCAAAAACTGAAAGGCTTATATAACTATAAGTAAGGCTTATACTTATAGACTTATTTACTTATTTAAGTATCGAAAGTTAGCATGGTGAGAATCACGCAGCAAACACTTCTAGGTGCCTTCTTTTAGCCAAAACATGACAAGGTGCTAGAATGTAAGGTTGTATTATATATACATTTTTAAAATTATAGCAGTAAAGAAAATACATATTTTTATCCCACATAAACTTGTTCTCACAGGCAAGATAGAAAAATTGAATGTATATGATAGGTTTATTGAAAAACTAGGTTATTTCTCCAAATAGAATTTTGCTGTTCTTGAGAACTTGCTAGATGGTACTCACTTAATAATCAGTGTCCCTTCTCCTGGGGACATGGGGTAACACTGAGCCTGAGCACTGCTTTTTTGGTAGAGCCCCTGCTTGAGGAGGAAACACTGATAAGTATGGGACAAGGACCTCCCTAGGGACAGTGCTGAGAGAGGAATTCTTTACAAAAGTTTCTGGGACTTGGGAAGCCTTTCAAGGCTGTTAGATGTGTTTAGAGGAAGAAATCAGAGAGATGAAAACAAAGATAGAAATAAAAATGTGGAAATGGATAGAATCTTAAATCAGCAGAAGCAAATCTTAAATGCCGACATGACTGATTATATTATACTAAAGTTTTTCTAGTAAGGGTGGTCTAAGTCTTACTATTAGATAAGAAATCTGATGGCCAGACTCTGGCTAAGTTATTATTACCCTTTTTTTCCTTACCCTTGCTTCCTCATTGGAGTTGTCCTTGAAGTATCAAACATTTATCTACCATTCAGCCAACCTTCTTTCCATCTTTCCATTTATCCATTCTTCCTTCCTCATGTCAATCATGCATAAAAAAAGTCTCTGCCTTCTGATATATTTGTAGAAGTGCAGGGGGAATGAAGGCAAGATGCTTCAACCCTAACACCCCCTCAACACTCATTTGGCATGTCATAAAATTCTTAATAAGCCCCTCCCAGAAAGGATAGCATTAATATTTATTAAAAACCCCAAAGAGACTGAGCTGAAAGCCTCATAGATAGACAAAATTATAATCATCAAGATTTTTTCTCTATGGTAATGCTAAAAGTAATACAATTTAAAGCATAATACAATTACTAAGAGTTATACCATAAGGGTTATTAGATGGTTTTGAAACATTGATGAAATTTCTGTTACCTATTACCTCTAGATTGCTGATTCAGAAGCAGAATGTGAGGATAAAGAAGGAAATTTGTTTCCATCAGAAGGCTCTTGTCCAGTGAGTTTGGAGGGCTCAGTTTAGTTAATATGTGCTAGTTACCCATGATCTAAGCCAGGAATAAATAACCCAACCAGAGTTTATTGACTTTTCTCCTGAGCTGCCTCACTGGAGACCCCTAGTGGTGAACAATTGCTGTACCAGAGCTGAAGAGGTGTTGGGGGAGGGGTTGTCCTATTACAACAAGCCTCATTAACAAGATAGGGGAACACAGTTAACTCCCTGAGAGTTCCTGACATACTCTGCTGTGGAATATTTCATCTTTGGAAGCAGTAATGATTATACAGCAACACAAGTATTATGTGAATTGTCAGTCTCTTTCCTAAAAATTTGTGTCTTGTGTGTATGCTGATACTGGGGCTTGCATTCAGGGCTTCAAGCTCTTACTGGGACTTTTTTTACTCATGACTGATGGCTTTAACCACTTGAGCCATGCCTTCAGTTCTTGGTTTTTTTTCTAGTTAATTAGAGATAAGAATCTCTCAAATTTATCTGCTTAGGTTGGCTTTGTACCAAGATTTTGAGATCCAAGTCTTCTGAGTAGCTAGGATTGTAGGCATCCAGCTCCTTATAATTTTTGAAATTGACATATACCAGAATAGCTGTCAAAAATGAACAGCATCAGCTACACAATAGTACATTTTCATCCTTTAATAGTATTTGTTAAATGCTAGATAATGAGCAAGAATAGTATATATTAAGGACAATTAGGAGTGTGTGTCTGTCTCTGTCTCTGTCTGTCTGTTTCTCTCTTTCTCTCTTTTTCTCTTTCTTTCTCTTTCTCTTTCTCTCTCTCTCTCTCCTTCCGTATGTCCCTCTCTTTCAAGTAAAACCTCCAAGATTAAACTCAGAAAAGATAATTTCTCTCCATACTGACTTACAGTTTATATTGAGGGAGGAGAAAACTTATTTTTATCAGTTTATAGCTTTTTCAGGATTTTTAAAGAAACTGCATGAAAATGGTATTAATTCATTTCAGACTAACATGGAATTTGTTTTGTTGCATGGCCTGGTTTGCGGTGGAATTCACGACAGAGAGTAAGTGTCATTCTTTTTCCTTTATCTGTTTTCTGCAGTGCATTATTTGCCTTTCTGATATGTGAGCTGTTTTTTCTGCAATGTGTGAGCCATGGTTAGCAATATTACCTAATCAATGAGAATCTGGGCAACACCAGCATGGGCATTTTTAATATTTTCTAGGCTTGGGAGGAGTTGTAGGTTAAATATGTGAAACTTTTTTTTAATCCAGGTTTTTAGTATGTTTTTGGAGACTCTTGTGGATTTTATAATAATTCATAAGGATGACTTGCAAGACTGGCTTTTTGTTCTTCTCACACAACTGCTTAAGAAAATGGGAGCAGATTTACTGGGATCCGTGCAGGCAAAAGTTCAGAAGGCTTTGGATGTCACAAGGTATGACTTGGGGGCTCAGTCATTTTGCAATACCAAGACTGGACTTTCTTGCGATTATCTTCTGTTACTCATGGTCTCTGCCACCACTCACATCTCTTCTTTCCCGCTCGCTTTCTATGTCCTCTTGTTGACGTGTCCCACCAATTTAGGAGATGAAATACCTGTGTGTTTGAGTGGATATTATAAGATAAATGTAAAATTTTGAAAATTGATTCTCTTCCCTCTGTAAAACATGTAAAGAGAACAGTGAGAACATTTGTTTACATCTTTATGAAGTTCTGAGTATTTTTAATACTTGAGTTTCTCTTAAGTCACACTTGGCAGTTCATGATGCGTAATAGAGATTCTGTAGGTCCAGAAACTGTCTCAAAATTGACTATTCCTTGGCTCACAAATGAATTACGCATCAAAGCAATTGTAACTTTCTGGTGTTACAAAAGTAGAAAAGTCACTGAGGCTTAGAGAAGTTTTAAGAACCATGTGCTGTTTCTCAGAAACCTCTCCTTTGTTATGAAGTCATAGCCCCTCAGCCTGCATAGACACCTTGTAGTGCTATCTTAAATGTGATTGAGTATAAGATAGAGGGGAATATATTAGATTAATGCATCTTTTCAAGGAGTAAACAAATGGCTCTCAGTCTGAAAATTATCAAGGCAGTAACTTTCGTAAGACCCAAAGATTATAAACTGGAATAATACTAGGTGTCACAGAAGTTTTCATAGTGAAGAGACTCAAAGGTGGAGGTTATTTTTGGCAAGAGGACCAGTACTGAAGCATAAACTTAGGGTCTGCATGCTGTCCCTTAGCTTTTCTTATCAGAGCTGGCGTTCTACCACTTGAGCCACAGATCCACTAACAGGTTGTTGGTGGTTAATTGAAAATAAAAGTCTCAATATATTCCTGACCAGGCTGGCTTTGAACTGTGATTGTCATATCTCAGTCTCTTGAGTAGTTAATGTTATAGTACAAGCCACCAAGTACTCAGCAAAACTCATTTTTATCAGATACTGCCTTGATTTACCCAGGGTCACATAGGTGTTAATAGCAGTCTGGGAAATAAAATCCTGCTTTGTTATCATTGCTCTTTTATCATTTTTTATCATTGCTCTGTGATTCTAGGTTGCTATGTAGGCCGTGTCCTTCTCTCCTGTGCACAGACAGGGTGGGTGGTGCTAGCACCTTCACTTAGCTGCCTTGTCATCACCTCTGTGTGAGTGGCCACTGCATGCCTTGCCTCTGAATACCATGTACATATTCGATCCTCAGCTTTCTGATACCAGTGGTTTTCTTTTGTCTCTGACCCTTTCAACGTATATAATTTGCACAGCTATAAAAGACTATTCTTCAGATCATCAAAGAATTCAAAGTAACATATTACATTTGTAACAAGGCTTTCAAACTATCCTTTCTGGATAACTGAGCTTACCAATTGGGGAATATTTCTGACCACCAGCGAACAATGGATTTAATTGGAGGGCCAGGCTGATAAAGCTGACATAAATAAGTAATAGCATATACAAGGGAGTGTTACTGATCTGTGACCAGTTGTGGCCATGTTAGGATGTGGACCCATTAGTACTAGACTTTTCAAAAAACAGTCTGAATTACAAATTTGAACAACACATTTGGAGATATTTTTTATTATGCTATAAAGGGACTAAATAAAACACATGAGCCAGACTTGGCCCAAAGATGTCTTAACTAACATGAGTTTATCAATTACACTGTCCCTTTTTGATTTTAGGAATGGAGGGAAAATTTCAGATTATGCTTCTAGATCTGGATGGTCAAGGACTATACTTCTGCAATTGAATTTGGAGATGTAGTTCAGTAATGCTTCACTCGCCTAGCATACACAAAGTCCTGGATTTTTATCACAAAAGACAAAAGGAAGAAGGAAATACAGCTCTGTCCTCCTATTTGGTTTTCTGGTTACTCTTTCCTTCAAGAATCCTATCCTCTCCAGGGCTGGGAAGGTGGCTCAGTGGTAGAGCGCTTTCCTTGTATGCCTGAGGCCCTGGGTTCGATTCCTCAGCACCACATAAGCAAAAAGAAAAAAGCCGGAAGTGGCACTGTGGCTCAAGTGGTAGAGCGCTAGCCTTGAGCTGAAGAGCTAAGGGACAGAGCCCAGGCCCAGAGTTCAGGATCCACGACCGGACCGCCCCCCAAAAAAAAAGAATCCTATCCTCTGAGCAGAACAGAGGGAATAAATGGGGATGAGCATGGTAAAAAAGAGAAATAGAGCGGTAAGCTTGGTCAGGAGACACTGTATGCATGTATGGAAATATCACAGTGAAACTACCCTATTGTAAAACAATACAAGCTAATAAAAATAGTCCTTTAAAAAAGAACCTTTACCTCAATAGATTTTGTCTGAGTTCCTAAGATATTTTCTTATTCCTGTCTTTCTACCAGCAACTGAGATGGATAACTGTTTTAAGTTTATCAATGCTGGCCAAGTTGCTCCGCCACAGGTTCTAGACCTAGGTGCTAGTCTGTTTCCTTATCTCTGCTTGTGGTTGACAACTGGACCCATTTCCTGGCAAAACCCACCAGATGCTGAGATGTCTTCCCCATCCATCCCTCACTGCAAAAGCAGTGAGATTCTTGTGAAGTGTGTTGACCAAGTCACTTAAATCATGATACTAAACTATACTTAGTTTCCAGAAGTCGTCCTCGAAACTTCCAAGGTGTAGGTGTGAGAGAAAAGGGTGTTGTTGTGTCAGGTTCACCTGGGTGCAAGGTGCTGAGGGCTTAACATAGGGCATTAAGCATGCTAGGCAGTTGTTTTACCACTGAGTTATACCACCTTGGTTAATTTTTTATTAGTAATTATGGTAGTAACACTGGTACCTAATATATGCCACTTTATAAAGCTTTCCAGTTTTCTTGTACTGTTTCTTTTGATTTCCACACCAATTCTGTGACAATAGGTATCATTTGCTTCATTTCATAGATACAAATACATCCTCATGATACTCATTCATTTTATCATACTCTGTCAATTAGCAAAAGCCACTGAGACATTTTAAAGAAAGCAGTGTGATTACCTGGTGTCTGTTGTATTAGATTCTTGTGCTACATTATCCTTCCTGTTTATGGAGAAATTCCATCACCTTTATCCATATGGAGTTCCATTGTGGAATCTTAAACTAGTCGCACATTTTTCACATTTAAGGGAGAGAGCACTGACTTTCTCTAATCAGGAACTCCTCTGGGTCACTGATGGCTCAAACATTAACAGTGACTACAATAAATGGAATCAGTTATAGAAGGAAGTGGCTCAGGCACTGATAGCACTCAAGCACAATTGTAATCCTAGCTACTCAGGAGACTGAGATTTGAGGACCATGATTTTAAGCCAGCCCAGACAAGGAAAGTCTATGTGACTTATAGCTGGCCTTCTCTCTGCCCCTCACTCCCACCCAAAAATCACAAGTAGAGCCATGGCTCAAGTGGTAAAGTGCTAGCTTTGAGTGAAATGGCCAGGAACAGTACTTAGGTCTTGAGCTCAATCTCCAGTACTGGCATGGGGGTAGGAGAGACTCTTAGGGCCCTGGGCTTCTGTGTATGAGTTGTCACTGAATGGGGACTTTTCTGAAACTGATCATTGCATAGGCTTTCCAATGTGGTGACTATACAAAAGAGTTATCAGGACAAGGAGGACACACAATTTGCTTAAGCAGGGTCAGTTGTAGCAGCCTAGTTAGGATCTAAAAATAAATCTGAGAATCAGAAGCATGTGGGTATAAGCAGTATTTAGAAAGGAAGCTAGAGGGATGAGGCACGTTCCCAGAAGGGCAGACAGAATATCTGTGTTCCTTAAGTTCACTGCGTAGTCTTGATTTCTACAATAGCGTTGCAGAGTAATTTAATACGTGCTTGGGAGTTTCCAGTTTCTAAATTTTTTAAATAAACATAACCAATTTAGTGTTTGTATAAAATGAAAACTGGTGTTTCAAGAAATATAAACTTTATGTATATTAATCTGGAATATCATGTTATAATTTTGTATAAATTTCTTTTAAAAGTGCTTTTTTTTAACTTAGGGACTCCTTTCCATTTGATCAACAATTTAACATTTTGATGAGATTTATTGTGGATCAAACTCAAACTCCAAACCTCAAGGTCAGTATTTGTCATTATAATTCAAGCTCTGTAACTCCAAGTTGCTTCAACTTCAAATTGCTTATCTTGAGCTCTCATGGATGAATCTGCTATGAGCATTCCTGTTATACTCTTTGTGGACACATGTCCATTTCTTCTATTCAGTACCTTGTAGAGGAGTTGCTGGCTCATTGGTAGACATAGGTTTAACATTTTAGAAACTAAAAATGGTTGTGCCATATTATAGTTATTACCAGCAATATGAGAGTTTTAGTTACTCCACATCCTCATCTATATTGGACATTATAGTCAGTTATCAAACAAAAAACAATGAAGATACTCTATACTCTGTGCTAAGATGGAAATCTTACTAAATGTCTCTTTAATATTAACATTCTCTCAGATGTGGAAAATCACAAGATTGGATTTTTGTGATCAGGTTCATGGTCTTTCTTTGATCATCAACTTATGTTGAGGTTCTAGGTCTGAAAAATAAAAGCCCTTTGTTCCTGAAGCCAGTAGACCTAGAGGTATGGCTCAGTCCATGGAAGAGCAGCTGCCTGGTAGACTCAAACCCCTGAGTTTAAACCCTAGTACCATCTTAAAACAATACATATAAATACATATATATATATATATATATATATATGTGTGTATGTGTATATGAATATGAACATATAAAGTTGTTAGGGGTTAAGTTGGGGCAGAACATGAGATGAAATGCTGCCTCACAGGAGCTGGCTAGAATATATAACAGACTTACTGCAAACATGAACTTGCCCTCCTGGTCAATGGCAGAGTTACCTGTAAGTGTCTTTCAACATGGATGATGAATATGTCACTTCATGTAACATAAACAAGTTCAGAGGAAAGGCTTCCCCTGAATGGTGTCCGCTTTTCTCTGACTACCAGCTAAATGTTCTTTTCCAATATTAACAAAGCATACTTAACATTTATAATCATTGGATCTTTTAGGTCAAAGTTGCAATCCTGAAATACATTGAATCTCTGGCTAGACAGATGGATCCAACAGATTTTGTAAACTCAAGTGAGACAAGACTTGCTGTTTCTAGAATCATAACATGGACAACAGAACCAAAGAGTTCAGACGTGAGAAAGGTATGTCCAAAAGAGATAAAGTAGGAAACTCTTTTTCTGCAAAAACTAAGACTTTGCTCTCACCCCATTTTTCCCTCCTGCTCTTGTCATTTTCAGTCTTTGATGGTCATAGTTTTCTCAAGTATCTACTTTATCTATTTTGTGATGTGAAAATACTAGTGGTTTAATATCTTCCACAAAGATATTAGTAATATACTCTGAAGATGGAATTGCAGATCTAATGGACTCTGATTGCTTGCTAGCTATTTGGTGCCTGGTAGTAAAATGTAGTTGAAAAGTTGGATGAACTATAACAGATTCTTGACTTTAAGAAGAGCACAAAACCTTCTAACCACACACTTGAGAGCATGTTCTCCCTGATTTGGGAAACAGTGTGGTGTTTGGATAGAAATTAAATTTTTGAGACATCCAATGCCAACCTAATTTCTTGTGTTAGCTTATTAGATGAAAAGAAATTAACTGCTTTTTTCTGAAATGGCATCTTGACATATGGCATAGTAGAATGCAGGCTATTTTTACTTTCCTTACTAGGTAGTTTATCATCAGAGATTCATTAATACACGCAAGACATTCAGTGAGCCTCTGACATACTACAGGCATGTAGCAAGTAGGAATTCATATTGGTTTGCTGTACCTGCCCTTACTGTCTTCCTGTCTGGTCTGTGTTTGGGTTGTACATATGTGGCTTTAACTTATATAAAAAGCCTTAGCCAGGTACAAGTGGCTCACATCTATACTCCTAGCTACTTAGGAGGCTGAGTTTTGAGGATTGTTGTTTGAAGCCAGCCTGGGCAGAAAAGTTCATGAGACTCTTATTTCCAGTTAATCACCAAAAAGCCAGAAGTATAGCTGTGGCTCAAGTAGTAGAGCACTAATAGCCTTGAGCAAAAGAAGCTCAGAGACAGCACCCAGACGCCAAGTACTTACTTTGGAACACATGCTGAACTTCACAAAGCTTTGTACTTGTTGATGTACTACTTTCAGTGCCTGTTTCTGTTCCCTGTGACAATTGCTTAAAACTCCTCATCTTCAGATGTGGTTCAAATTCAGATTCTGGTACAGTAATCCTAATCTTCAGAGGGATTTGAGAAGCTCAGATCTCATCCTCCTGAGAAGCTAGGATTACAGGTGTGAGCCACCGTACCTGGCTTTTAGCTGATTTTCTAATTCACAGAACTGAGAACTGCTCATTTGGACCCTTTCCCTAGAATTGAACCTGAGCACATACAGATTGCTGATGTAGCTTGACCTGATTACCACAGATTCTCTTGAATATCAGCTTAGTGCCTCGATACCTTCAGGACTAGGCCTGGCCTCACTGTCTCTAACATCTTCCACACCCAGTACCTAGAACCTCTCACCTCAGTCTTGTGGTTGGGACTCTGTGACCCTTAGCAGTTTTCCTTCAGACTGACAAATCCTCTTTTCTATCTGTTGTCAGCTCAGTGCTTGCTGTATTGATCATAAGTCTTTCTGGAGGATAAAATTCCTCCCCAGGCATGACATGTGGATGGAATTTGCATAAATGAGTAGCTTGGGGGAAAAGTCCACATTGATGAAGATGAGCTGTATCTGGGAATAGTGAATAAACCAGTGTGTTCAAAGCAGAGAGTTTGAAAAAGTTGCACTTTTGGATTTGCCTTCCTTACATGCTCAGCAAAACCTGGAGGAACATATTTAGGTGCTGTAGTTTGCGTCTGGAGTGTCTCCCAACGGCCAATGTATTGAGGGCTTGGTCCCCAATCTGTGGCTGCATTGAGTGGTGAACCTTAAAGAATTAGGGCCTAGTAGGAGGAAATTCGGTTATTGGGGGTACCTCCTGTGAGGAGACTTCGGGGTTCCAGCCCCTTCCTCTCCATCTTTGTCCTAGGCTGCTGTGAGATAGATGAACAGGTTTCTTCTGCTGTATGCTCCCTGTGCTGCCACAGGGCCAGCTGACCGTGGGCTGAAGCCTCTGAAGCCATGAGCCAAAATATTCCTTCCTCCCTTTTAAGTTATTTATTTGAAATGTTTTGCCATGGTGACACAAAAACTAACACAGTAGGCATCTTGTAAAATAATAATCAATGAACACATTAATGATAAACACCCACAAGAAAATTACCTCATTTCAAATGAAGTTGTGAAACGATCAATATAAATACTATAGTTATAAACATTCTCTTTGTCGTCAATATTCGCTTTCTGTTGTATCACAACACAAGACCTGGCTGCCTAAAACAACACATGTGGTACAAGCCAGTGGCCATGTTTATTCTAGTTACATGGAAGGCTGAGATTGAGAGGATGTTGACAGAAGCCAACCTAGGCAAAAAAGTTTGCAAGACCCCTTCCTTAATCGATACCTGACACAGTGGTGTCAATGTCATCCTTGTTACAATAAGAGCCTAAAACACATACATTCCTAGCATGAGACCCTGTCCCAAAAATAACCAGAGCAAAAAATAAAAATAAAATAAATGGGGGGGGAGGGGGAGTGGCAATGTGGTCATAGAGTTATCTGCTTGTTAGCCCGAGACCCCGAGTTCAAAGCTCATTGCCACCTCTGTGTGTCTAGCTCAGAAGTCTGGCACATGCTTTCCAGGTCATCAGAATACAGTGCCAGTCTCATCTGAGACACTGTTCTTGCCAGAGTTCTGTTCCTCAGAGATGCAGGATTTGTGTGTCTCCTTTCCTGCTGTAAGCTGGGAGCCATTCTCAGCTTTTAGAAGAAGTTTTGCTGAAAAAATTAACAGGACAATTTTGGAAGAAATAATGTCCAGAAATATAGCAAGTTTGATATAAACAATAATCTCCATAGCTAAGTAGGTCTTTTTAAAAAAGGAAAACAAAAAGAAAAAGATGCACAGATACTTCCAACTTTGAAATCCAAAGGAGATTTGTGAAAGCAGTAAGAGGGGAGTAACTTGCCTCAGGAGCCCTGGTAAAACTAACCTGATCAGAGATACTGAGAGGAGAGGCAGTGAGGTGACATTCAAAGTGATGAAAGGCTGAGAGACAGATGTGGGGGGGTAACACACTGGTGAGCATGAATTCACTGTTCAACAAAGCCAGTTTTTAAAAATAAAGCAAAAAAGCCAGGTGCCAGTGACTAATGCCTAGCTAATCAAGGAGGCTGAGATCCCAGGCTCTACATTCAAAACCAGTCTGGACAAACAAAAAGACTCCTTTTTAAAAAAATTTTTTTCAGCATGAAATATTTTATATTTATTATTTAACTGAAACCTTTCCAGGTTGCTTTATTTTTTTAATTGGGAAAATACCGTACAGAGGAGTTACAATTACATGGACATGGTAATGAGTACATTTCTTATCAAGCATTGTTGCCTCCTCCTTTGTTTCCCCTTCCCATCCCTTCCTCACCCCCCCCCCCCCCAGCCAAAAACGAACTTTACAGTTTACAATCAAAAGACTCCTATCTTCAATTATCCAGCAAAGAGTTGGAAGCAGAGATATGTCCAAGTGGTAAAGCACCAGCCTTTAGAGAAAACACCAAGGGAGAGCACATGGCCCTGAATTCAAGCTCCCATACCAACACAACAAAAATAAAAATTGTGTGTTTTAAATTTTTTTTATTTAATTTTTTATTTTATATAATCTATTTTGTTCCATCTCTCATTTCCATGTTTTCTTAGGTTATTTCTGGTATTGTGGCATTCATCTGAAATGAAAAGCCATGTTTATAATTATGGAACAAATTCTCCTGCTAGTGCCCTGCTTTAATTTCTTTAAAATGGGATGGTTTATCTTCAGTAAGAAGTCTATATAGTAAGCTCTTACAGGACCCATCTCTGAAGGATGTTCACTATGCCCATTGAGATAGAAAGCAACAAATCCTTTTCCACTCCTATAAGAACTCACTTCTGGGGCTGGGAAGGTGGTTCGGTGGTAGAATGCTTGTCTTGCATGCATGAGGCCCTGGATTCAATTCCTCAGCACCACATAAGCAGAAAAAGCCAGAAATGGAGCTGTGGCTCAACTGGTAGAATGCTAGCCTTGAGTTGAAGAGCTAAGGGACCAGCGCCCAGGCCTAGAGTTCAAGCCCCATGACCAAGCAAAAACAAAAACTGGAGCTGTGACTCAACTGGTAGAGTGCTAGCCTTGAGTTGAAGAGCTAAGGGACCAGCACCCAGGCCTAGAGTTCAAGCCCCATGACCAAGCAAAAACAAAAACCACCACCAACAACACAAAAAACTCACTTCTGAAACATTTTAACTGATGAAAACTGATAAAACTCAGATGCACTGACTTTAGCATTTTTAGTATTTTCTTTGTGTTCCCTTCTTTTGTTTTTTAGATAGAATTTTTTGTTGTTGTTTATTGTAAAGATGCTGTACAGAGGGGTTAGTTACGTGAGTAAGGGAATGAGTACATATATTGTCGAGCATTGTTATTATTGTTCTCCCACTATCCCTTCCCTCCCCCACCTTACACACACACACACACAAAGTTGTGAAGTTGAAACCTAATCTACTATCTTGTTGTTATCATGATTGCAATGGGTCATCCTGTGTCCTTGTTTCAATGTTTTGTTGTTCCCCTTTGCCTCCCCAAATTAGACTAGTGTTTTCCTTGTTGTTGTTGTTGTTTTAAATGTACTATGTGATTTTGTTTGTTTCCTTTGTATGTTCTTCCCCCTATGGTATATCCCCTGCTGTCATTGTACTTGATTTTGGTATCCTGCATCTTTGTTCCTTTCTTAACTTGTATTTGGAGACATTTCATCAGGGAGGCCTCAGATGTTTTTGAACCCACACACAGAGAAGTCACCAATGAGATACACTTGACAAACTGAGACTACTATGCACCAGCTCAGAAGCCCCACCTAGCCTTTTCTTGGCCTGGCCTGGCTGTTTTACCTTTTTGTTCTCTCTCTCTCTCTCTCTCCCTCTCTGTCTTACCCTTTTCATTTCTTCAGACTAGTTCTGTTGCCTGTAGTGCTAAGGTACACTAGGCACTGTGTTTGATGTGAGTGAGATAAAAGAACCTGTTACCCATAA